CCTCTATTTGTAAACCAGTTTGTACAAATGCATTTCTATTTTCAGAATCATTAAAAATATTTTTAATTGTTTGGGTAGCTGTATTTCTTTCTTTGATTGTTAATCTAACAGCATTTTCAACATTAAATCCTATTTCCATTAATGTATTATTAATTCTGGCTTCCGATATTTCTAAGTCAACTCTCTTGACGAGAGCAACTTTTCCCGTATCTTTAATTCTTTGAATTGATTGAGATACAAATATTTTTGCTGTTGTCTGACTATAAGCAGCAAGGATTTGAGTAAAATCATTTAATAACCGATTAAATAAAATAGCATTTGTAGCCTCCAACATAAATTTTCGTGAACGACGGAGTTGAATAGCGCATACTCTAAAATCAGCCAAGTGCTTGTTAATCTTATTATTTAATTCTAGTTTGTTTAAGCTTGCGCCCTCTAAAATTAGAGGTGCAATGGAAAATTTTGATTGGTTTGATGTTGGTGTTGATAAATTTTTGATCAATTGTATCATCAGTTGTTGTAGTTAGTTCTTGTACCTTGATTTGATTATCATGACTTTCAATACGTTTATCTAAACCATCACTTTCTCTTTTTGGAGGCATTTCAGAAATGAACCCAAAAACAACTGTAGTGCTCTTGATGACCTATTATTTCATAGATAAAACAGTATCAATAGCCACATATAGAAAAAAAAAAGTATGCAAAGCAAGGTATGTAATTTTTTTAAACAGCTGTCTATTCATCCCCAATAACCCCCTTCATCGTCACGTGGACGAGAAAGAGTCAAAGAAGTTGTTATTCTAAGATGTAGAGAGAACGCATAAAAATAAACGAAAGAAAAAAATACATTTGTCAGTACGCATCGATAATTGTATTACGTAAACTATGAAATATATAACAATAATCTTTCTTATTTTAAGATTATTTTATCTATATTATTGAAATGACTTCATTAACAATTTCAAATGTTGTCAAAAATGATCATCATACGCTTAGCGAACTTTATCGAGTTTGTTAATTATTCTTATTATTTAAATATAATTAGTGCTGTACATCTTAGAATTATTTATTGGCTGAAGGAAATATTGCTATTAAACAAGAATATGCTCTAAAATTTCAAGGAGAATTAACAAAACATAGTACTGCAGAAGAAACTATTCTTTATCCAGCATTCGAACAATATCTTGATTCAGAAGGAAAAAAAATGGCTCATCAAGATCGCAAAGAAGATCAAACGGTGTTTTTTCGCCATCTCTCTCTTTTTTTTTTACTTTTTAATTTATAGATTAAAAAACTTTTGTCTCAATTTGCATCAACATCTGTATCTGATCCACAACATCGTGTTATATTTGATGAACTTATGACTAATTTAAATGAACATATAAAAGGGTATTTTTTGCAACATATTTGCTATTTTTATAAATAAATGAAATAAATTTTAGAGAAGAAACAAATGATTTACCTAAATTTGAAAATGCCATAACACCTGATTTAAGTGCATCATTGGCTTATTCATTTCGACAAG